ACAGTTTATTTATGTCACTGGCCCAACTGAGGTTTCAGTTTATTACTTAATGTGTTACTGGCCCATGAGGTTACAGTTTATTTATGTCACTGGCCCAACTCGGGTTTCAGTTTATTACTTAATGTGTTACTGGCCCATGAGGTTACAGTTTATTTATGTCACTGGCCCAACTCAGTTTTCAGTTTATTACTTAATGTGTTACTGGCCCATGAGGTTACAGTTTATTTATGTCACTGGCCCAACTCGGGTTTCAGTTTATTACTTAATGTGTTACTGGCCCATGAGGTTACAGTTTATTTATGTCACTGGCCCAACTCGGGTTTCAGTTTATTACTTAATGTGTTACTGGCCCATGAGGTTACAGTTTATTTATGTCACTGGCCCAACTCGGGTTTCAGTTTATTACTTATTGTGTTACTGGCCCATGAGGTTACAGTTTATTTATGTCACTGGCCCAACAAAGGTTTCAATTAATTACTTAATGTGTTACTGGCCCATGAGGTTACAGTTTATTTATGTCACTGGCCCAACTCAGATTTCAGTTTATTACTTAATGTGTTACTGGCCCATGAGGTTACAGTTTATTTATGTCACTGGCCCAACTCGGGTTTCAGTTTATTACTTAATGTGTTACTGGCCCATGAGGTTACAGTTTATTTATGTCACTGGCCCAACTCGGGTTTCAGTTTATTACTTAATGTGTTACTGGCCCATGAGGTTACAGTTTATTTATGTCACTGGCCCAACTGAGGTTTCAGTTTATTACTTAATGTGTTACTGGCCCATGAGGTTACAGTTTATTTATGTCACTGGCCCAACTCGGGTTTCAGTTTATTACTTAATGTGTTACTGGCCCATGAGGTTACAGTTTATTTATGTCACTGGCCCAACTGAGGTTTCAGTTTATTACTTAATGTGTTACTGGCCCATGAGGTTACAGTTTATTTATGTCACTGGCCCAACTCGGGTTTCAGTTTATTACTTAATGTGTTACTGGCCCATGAGGTTACAGTTTATTTATGTCACTGGCCCAACTGAGGTTTCAGTTTATTACTTAATGTGTTACTGGCCCATGAGGTTACAGTTTATTTATGTCACTGGCCCAACTCGGGTTTCAGTTTATTACTTAATGTGTTACTGGCCCATGAGGTTACAGTTTATTTATGTCACTGGCCCAACTCGGGTTTCAGTTTATTACTTAATGTGTTACTGGCCCATGAGGTTACAGTTTATTTATGTCACTGGCCCAACTCGGGTTTCAGTTTATTACTTAATGTGTTACTGGCCCATGAGGTTACAGTTTATTTATGTCACTGGCCCAACTGAGGTTTCAGTTTATTACTTAATGTGTTACTGGCCCATGAGGTTACAGTTTATTTATGTCACTGGCCCAACTCGGGTTTCAGTTTATTACTTAATGTGTTACTGGCCCATGAGGTTACAGTTTATTTATGTCACTGGCCCAACTCGGGTTTCAGTTTATTACTTAATGTGTTACTGGCCCATGAGGTTACAGTTTATTTATGTCACTGGCCCAACTGAGGTTTCAGTTTATTACTTAATGTGTTACTGGCCCATGAGGTTACAGTTTATTTATGTCACTGGCCCAACAGTTTATTTATGTCACTGGCCCAAGGTTTCAGTTTATTACTTAATGTGTTACTGGCCCATGAGGTTACAGTTTATTTATGTCACTGGCCCAACTCTGGTTTCAGTTTATTACTTAATGTGTTACTGGCCCATGAGGTTACAGTTTATTTATGTCACTGGCCCAACTCGGGTTTCAGTTTATTACTTAATGTGTTACTGGCCCATGAGGTTACAGTTTATTTATGTCACTGGCCCAACTCGGGTTTCAGTTTATTACTTAATGTGTTACTGGCCCATGAGGTTACAGTTTATTTATGTCACTGGCCCAACTCGGCTTTCAGTTTATTACTTAATGTGTTACTGGCCCATGAGGTTACAGTTTATTTATGTCACTGGCCCAACTGAGGTTTCAGTTTATTACTTAATGTGTTACTGGCCCATGAGGTTACAGTTTATTTATGTCACTGGCCCAACTCGGCTTTCAGTTTATTACTTAATGTGTTACTGGCCCATGAGGTTACAGTTTATTTATGTCACTGGCCCAACTCAGATTTCAGTTTATTACTTAATGTGTTACTGGCCCATGAGGTTACAGTTTATTTATGTCACTGGCCCAACTCGGGTTTCAGTTTATTACTTAATGTGTTACTGGCCCATGAGGTTACAGTTTATTTATGTCACTGGCCCAACTCGGGTTTCAGTTTATTACTTAATGTGTTACTGGCCCATGAGGTTACAGTTTATTTATGTCACTGGCCCAACTGAGGTTTCAGTTTATTACTTAATGTGTTACTGGCCCATGAGGTTACAGTTTATTTATGTCACTGGCCCAACTGAGGTTTCAGTTTATTACTTAATGTGTTACTGGCCCATGAGGTTACAGTTTATTTATGTCACTGGCCCAACTCGGGTTTCAGTTTATTACTTAATGTGTTACTGGCCCATGAGGTTACAGTTTATTTATGTCACTGGCCCAACTCGGGTTTCATTTTATTACTTAATGTGTTACTGGCCCATGAGGTTACAGTTTATTTATGTCACTGGCCCAACTCGGGTTTCAATTAATTACTTAATGTGTTACTGGCCAATGAGGTTACAGTTTATTTATATCACTGGCCCAACTCGGGTTTCAGTTTATTACTTAATGTGTTACTGGCCCATGAGGTTACAGTTTATTTATGTCACTGGCCCAACTCGGCTTTCAGTTTATTACTTAATGTGTTACTGGCCCATGAGGTTACAGTTTATTTATGTCACTGGCCCAACTGAGGTTTCAATTAATTACTTAATGTCACGTGGAGGTTCCCTCATTAGGTAGTCATATATTTTGTTGTTGTTGTTGCTGTTGTTGTTACGTTATTTTGGGTTTTTTTTCTGATTGTTAACATGTCTCTAATAAATCTGTTGTCACCTCTTCTCAATACAGGTGGTCCTGAGGCCGGTTGTCTCCCCTACATAGATGGATGTTGGGATCTAGCTGACCTCTGCTGTAGTCAGACTTCCGAGCGGTCCTGGATCTTTTGGCATGCTGCTTGTGCTGTTCTGCTAACAACAGCATACTTCTTTTCTTGACAGCAGGTTTGCATTGGTGCTGGCATTGACTCCCAAAATATTCAGGTGTCCGAGAAGTTACCTGGCTCCTTTGGTGCTGACAGCCTGGCCACACAAAGCTGAAGGCAGGTACTTGTTTACAAGGGCGGGCTTTGGTGCGGGCTTATCCGCGTCTGCCTCTCTATATAGTTTATACAGTGGAGATCTGTACTGGCATTTATTACATCGGACAGCACAACTCCATCCCAGGGCCCTTTTCCGCTCGGTGTCCCGTTCAAACTCTGGTACCATGCATGCTGTAGTGTTAGGTTGTCCGCCATGAAGTCTGATGATGTCGTTGCACATTTTCACCATCAACACTATGTCTATGATCCGGTTTCCTTCTATCACAGGCTCGGAATTGGATTCTTCAGCTGTAACAGTTGCTGGCAGTAGTATCCGTGTTGGACATGGTGTGTGTCCAGTATCTGTTGCTACGAGGGAAAGGCCATCAGGACTAGACTTGGTGATCAGCTGAAATTCCTGGGTGGTCAGTCTTCTGGTCAGAGCTGGTCTCTCTTCTCTGGTGACAGGTACTTCAGGATCTTCATCTTTAAATGCCTGGCCCTTATTCTTTGGAACATTTGCAGGCTTGAAATAATTGTTCCTTCTCTTTCTGTCTCCCTTCATATTGGTAATGGTCAGTAATGGTCAGTGGCGGTCAGCAATGGTCAGTCAGAAGTAGTCAGATGTATTAAGAATCACACTTTCTTACTTGTTCACTGATCACAGGAAATTTAATATCAGTAATGAGATGATGATTTAATCTCATCTTTTGCAAGTTGTGTACCAATGCTATTCTCGTAAGTTTTAAGCCTACGGTCCCCAATGTGTACATGTTTTTGGCTGATGCAGTAAATCGCTTAATTGACTGTTTGGGTTACCTGGTTATTTATGTGTCTGGATTATTGCACAGATATCGCATAGTTTAGATAAACACTGTATATAATGTATACTTTGGTATGTGCATATATGATGAAGACATGGAGAAAACGTCAGACCTGGACCATCAAGTGCAGTGACGCCAACGCCATTAAGTTTAGGCCTACGACCACCTGGATCCCCAAAAGAGCACACGGCTGTACTGTCTGAAATATCTGCTGCAGAATCATGGGGGTAAGTGATTAAATACACTACAGCAATATAGAAGTTATGAAATTGTAAAGAACTACAACTACATGTAGTTTAATTTTTTCATACATGTACAGTTGAGTTAGCATAAGGGTATACAGTATTGCAATAGGCTAATTATGGTTCTTTCTATCTGTTGTAATTAAGATTGTTTCCTTTTTGTTCCAAATAAAATATAGTTCATATCTATCATTTCTAACATTCATTATTGATGTGCTACTGGTAAACATCTGTGGTGTCTGAATTATTTTGTGTATAAAACCAGAGACGTATATGTGTTATATACGTCTCTGATAAAACTGACATCTATATAAATAATAATCTTTATTTAACGTCATGTAGATCAACAAACAACATAAGCTCTGTAGAGCTTTTATTACAATGCCGCTAAGGGAACAAATTTTATTTTATCTTATATATGTAGAAGTGTATGTATTATCAGTTCGTATTTCATCAAATTTTATTGTTTAATAAAATGTGTGTAATTTGATTTGACAACAGGCATAGATTGTATACGTCATCTCCTAGCAGTGCGATGAAAAATTCTTTGACACAACACACAGTCTAGACAACGTAGAGCATGAACTGATAATTGTAACATTCACACACCCTTGAATGCACACATGTATAATATATTACATCATCAATATTCAGAGAGACAACTATGTCAGGAGTTGAAGAGCTATCAGCAGAGGAACCATCTTTTGATGAAGGCAAACGAAAGAGAAAGCAGGCCTTGTCTGGATCATTTGTGAATCCAATTGAGTGAGTTATATCATATTTTGTAACTCAGTTAATATTTTGCTCTTACAAAATACTTGAGAGTGAAAATTTTATTTATAATGCCCATAATTCTGTTAGTTCAGTTGCAGTAAGTAAATATTCATCTGTTAGATAATTTGAATAGTTATGTAGTACTCATATTTAGATACATGTATGAACATAGATAATCAGAAATTGTTCACAAGTATATTAATGGAAGTTGTAATATTTTATTTTGTCATTCAGTTTGACACTTGAGATATCGGAGGTTGAAGAAGAAGGTGATGACGACCTACAAAATGATCCCGATTATAAGCCAGAATTCAACTTCTCTATTATGTAAGTTACATATTGCTGTTTATCATACTTACTATGAGCTTCATTCACAAAATACTTGAGCCTTCATAAGTTGTACATCTGTACCATAATTACACCATTAGTCCTAATGGTTAGTATTATTGATTTAAAAAAATATCTCTATAAGGCCTCCCATCTGTTACAACCACCTTCCCTTAAACCTTCAAGTGACAACTTCATATAGAGAACAATGAAGTATATTTTCCTATCTTGTTACAGTGGCAAGTATATTTAATATCATACATTAATACATGATTACTTGTAAGTACAGTTATACAACCTACTTACTTATTTTTATTACAATTATTTTGTCCTGATGTTTTGTCTTAATAATTCCACTTTAATGTTTTTGCAACAAAATAAAGGCCAGAAGGAATGACTGATGATGTGGAAGAGCTAGCATTTGAAGAAGCTGAGTTTGGTCAGGAGATGGAAAAGGATGAAGAAGATGTCATGACAGGGATTGAAGTGGTGGAGGAAGATGTTGGTCCTGGAGTCAAGAGAGTAAAGAGTCCAGAGGATATAGATAGACTTGTAAGAGATGATGTTTGTTTCGTGTATGTAAGCCAGCTTCTTGCATTAGCACATACTGCAAAGGAGCAGTGCTCAGTTTGCAGGATGACCCTGGCAATTGAGGTTGAGTTCCTGGGATCAGCTATTTATTTGAAATGGGTAAGTCAACATGGGAGTATACACATACTATTCAATGTAGGTTTTGTCAGTAACTAGTGCTTGTCTGTCCCATTTTGGTATCTTTGTAGAAGTAAGTTCTTTTGCAAGTTATTTCTAAACTTTTACACAAATTTAATTATTGTACTGCGTTAAAGGAGGGAGGTGATTATATATATGATTGTTCACAAGTTCCTGTTGTAATATTTGCTGTAAATTTCATTGATTCATGCTGAATAGGTACATACAGTAATAAGAAAATGGTGGTATAGTCAAGAAAATAATATTTGCACTATCTTTTGTACTACTGTAGCTTGGTTAAATGATAATTTATTAAACTCGGTTTTGTTTAATTATAGATTTGTGCTGACAAACACATTGAACACATTTGATGTTCACAGCATATTTTGAATAGACGATTACATAGTGGGGACTTTCTGATATCTGCTACGTGTGTGACATCCGGAAATAATTTTGGAAAGCTTGCCCTTTGGGCTAAGATGCTAAATCTTCATTTCCCAAGTGCAGCTGTATTCCACAGGATACAGAACTTTTACATTGGACCTACTGTGGATTTGTTTTGGAAAGAACACCAAACAGAACTGATTGAAAGTTTTGCAGGAAAAGACATAGTGCTGATGGGTACGATTTACATGTACTTTATATAAAAAATGAAATTTAAGTGGAACATTTTTATGTCCTCCTCAGTTCAATGAAATATAGAACAGACATAATTTGTATTCAAAACATGGCTGTGAAAGCCAATTAGGGTCTTATGTTGTGATTATTTAATGTGCTTCTATGACATTTACCTCTATAATCTATCATGTTTTGTGGAACATTTATAGTATGTTCCCTATCCAATCAATATAATATGCCACTTCTGCATGTATTCTTTATATACTTCTGTAGCAAACAATGTCTAGCTGACATTGGCCTCACATAGGTAATTTGCATTCTTTTTATAATGCATAAACTGATAAATTTTATTCAAACTTTGATTGATCTGTCTACGTAATTCTAGGAGACGGAAGAATGGATAGTCCAGGGCATAGTGCTCAGTACTGTAGCTATTCCCTCATGGAAATGGAAACCAAAAAGGTGCTGAGTTTAGTAACAATGGACAAACGTGTTGTTGACCGCAAATCAACAACAATTGAAAAGGAAGCCTTTCGAAGGAGCATTGAGGAGTTAAAAGCTAAAGGTTTAGGTGTGAAAGAGGTGGTGACAGATGCACATATGGGAATTGGATATTTGATGAGTAAGTATCATATATAACTATCCAACTGAACATTCCAGTGTATAGTAACAGAAGAGGAACATATACCATCAGTCTGAGGACCGGGGTACATGTGAACATTTGGTACTCTGGAAGGTGGACGGTTGATGTATGGTTAGCAGAGGCTTTGCCGAGTGCTAACCAGCCAAATTCTTACACAAGGGTTGAGAGACCCTGTCCACTTAACAGACCAATGTTTGATTCTTTTTTCTCCCTTACTTAAATGTACAGAAATAACAAAAGAAATTGAAGGTTGCTGTGCACTGTATACATGGCTTCACCATCAAATGATCATCAAAATGTATTATGTCAGCAATCAGTGCCCTGGTTACGCTACATGAAATGGTGAAGACATAGCTCGTGTGAGCTGTATTTCCCTAGGAAAAGACAGATTTATCATCTCATGTGTAAACATTGTCTTTCCCGAGAAAGTATGGAAGAAAGTAACTGTATATTAGGTCAAGTTAAATCGGCAATTTAAATTTTTGAAAAATCTTTTCAATAAAATATTGGTGTTTCTGTATCATGCTACCTTTTCCTTGTTTATTTCCACATTCTATATGTTGATTTTCAGGGACATCTTATCCTGAGATCAAACACAGTCATGACATTTGGCACGTAGCCAAAAACTTGGGCAAAAGGATAACAAAGGTAAACACTGATAGAGAAAATGTAGGATTCTGATCAAAGGATATGATACTCTGATATAACAGATAATGGCACCATTTTATGAGTATCTTGTATTTAATCATTTTCATGATGAATAGTTTTGACATATACAGTGTTTTTTATTTTAATTTATCACATATATGTGAGGGTGTGTGTGTTTTGGGGGTGGGGTGGGGTGTTTTCATGATACATATGTATAGACAGGAGGATGTGAAAGAGTTGAAGTCAACTTGATCATTTTTTTTTAGGCTGGACAGAAAAAAGGATGCAAAGATTTACTGAGATGGGCCAAACATATTGTCAATCATTTTTGGTATGCTTGTAGAGAAGCCACAGGTTACATGAGGTTCATCGTAAGTATAATGAGTTCTAGTGTGTGATTTGCATTTAGATGATTGAATATAGTAACTTATCTTATTACAGAAATTAAGTGAATTAATAAGCAAGGAACAAATGTTTTCAGAATATTTGGGGACAAGTGCGCCACCATGCTTGCAATGAACATGAGTGGATCCTTTCAGAAGGTGAAGGGCCTGCGGAGTGCTCACATGGAGACCTAGAGAAAGATGCAAACAGACCAGACTGGCTTCCAAAGGAGTCTCTCGCAGCTAAAGCTATTAATGAAATAGTGTTAGACAAAAGACTGAGAAACAGTTATGGATACATTGAAAACTTCAGGTACGAAAGATTCAACCAGTCTTAACTCTAGCCCACTTGAACTAAACAAGGGGGCTGGTACAAGTTTGAAATAAGCCTGTTTCAGGTATGGAAAATATCCGAGGGAGTAATCAATTTAATGTTTGATTGAGTACCATTCAAAAATTGCACAGGTTTGTAGCAAATGTTAACCTTACAAGTAGCATTGGCATGCCTTACATTTAATGGTTGGTGCTTGTTATTTGAAGTGTTATATATTTCTTATCAAAACCAGAATGTCAGTATGCATTTGTTATTTCTAGAGGAATTTATGCTTTGATTTATTTGAAAAATTGTGGTAGATTAGTGGAATGATTCTGATCTTCAGAACAGACGGACTGAATAATAAAGGTTTTAGCTCACATCATAATATGGTTATAGAAGTTACGAAGTTACAATTTTATATACAATAAGACACTGTCTAGTTAACTGTGGAAGCCTTGATAATTCATGACCATACTAAAAGTGTATACAAGATCCTGTTTTCATATTTATCTACAGAATGACAGCAGAGATTGAAGTATTCAACAATCTTATTTTGATGTATTGTGCAAAGCGTTTTGAATATAGTCCTGCCAGCATACAGGCCATTACTGATGAAGCCTTGGACAATAATTGTCATATAGATAGGCCATTACTGATGAAGCCTTGGACAATAATTGTCATATAGATAGGCCATTACTGATGAACAAGAAAGGAGAAGTTGTGTAAGTCTTTATCTAAAATTTAGCCATTCATTTTCCAATTTATATACCGGTAAGATGTAAATTAGGGTCCAGTATCAGATACAAGAGCCCTGTAGGTGATCACTCTTTGTTTTCTTGTCTATCAGATCATTTTCTAGTTAAATTTTTATATACATAAAAAAATAATAAGTTATCATTAAAAGCTTAGGGCACAAGGTCATGACCATTTGATCGAAAGATCAATTGAAAATTTTGTCTCTATATCAAATATTCAGATTGAGGAGGTCCATTTCATATTTTGTACCTTTTTAACTGACTGTCAACCTTAGCTATATGAGCTGTTGAATTATTGATAATTAGAGATATTGTTTAACTGACTGTCAACCTTAGCTACATGAGCTGTTGAATTATTGATAATTAGAGATATTGTAGAGTCAACATCAGGTCATTGTTCTCAAACTTTTATTAGGACTTATGTGACACACCCAGTTATAAACAACATTTTTTTATAGGTATCACAGAACTTTCAATAAGAAAAGTGGAAGGTGGTCTGTATACCCATGCAAGGTAAACAAAAACTATCAGCACGTGAGGGACCTTCTGAGAAGGATGCTTTCTGCACGCTTAGAAGACAAGATGGGAATGCACCGTCCAAAGGCTATGGCAGCAGATGACCCTCGAAGATTGTCTGTACATCTTTCTCCAGTAAGTCCAAAGGCAACAAAGGAGCTTGTGTCTCAACAAATGATACGGAAAAAAGAGACTGAAAAGTGAAAATTATCTTTCTGAAATTTTGTGTTATTGATCAGTGTAACAAGGACTTGTGGCCCCCAAAGTAATCTTTACAAAGTGCCCCCTTTCAAGAGAGTTATGATGGGTGGGGGGGAGGGGGGATGCAAGGGGTATGAATCAGGCATCCTGGTGATGGCCCTTCACAATCATTTTTGGTATGTGTATGTGTAGGATCAGTTGTATAATGTTGGTTTTGTATTTGTGGTGATTGCAGCATAATGTGGGAATGTTTATGTGTGGGGTAAAGCCTCATGTTGTATGATGTTGGAGTGTGTGCGTGTTCTGGGGCATGTATTATAATTTTGGGAGTGTGTGTGTAGAGCCTGTCAGTTACTATGTGTAATGCACGTTTGATACTGTATCTTATGAAAATTAACGGTGTACGAAAGTAAGTGATCATAAATGGTCTCTTGAAATATGTACAATATTGGGGTTGTGAATGAAAATAAAGTATGCTTTACCAAATTGTATATGCCTGGAGATGATTAATAAATTTTGCAAGTTACCCTTTCCAGTTTGAAATATTTCTTTGAATCACTCTTACCAGGATATTGTGTTTTGGCTTGGAAACTGTACCATGGAAACTTCTACAATGATTGTTTGGTCATTATATGCAGTTCTCTATAAGTTGACATATTCTGGTCTAGAGCAGAGCTAGAAAGCTAAAAAAATCATCAGATATATTTCTCTTGAAGAAACACTATAAAATCACTGAAGCATTTGAATTTTATGTTACAATAATCGTATAATGGCACCACAAGTATTTTTTACTTTTGACTGTTATACCATGCTAGTAACATGAAATCGACAGGGAAGTCTGCTGTTACATCAAAACACTACCAGTACTTATTCACTATATGCATGTCACAGTCCATAGAGCCATTTTGATTTGGAGCATGACAGATGCCGGGGCTAGAGGTCAAAGTAACATCCTCATCCTCTTGAGTCGACAAGTTTGAGACTCGTTGGGCAGGTGCCATGTGCTCATCATATGGTGATTTTTCTCCACCTTTTCTACGCCATCCAAATATGGCATATCCTGAAATGACCTGGGTGTTATAGGACACGAAAACATTTATTAAAATTGTAATAAGTGAAAAAAGTAATAACACACATCAGTCACAAGTCACATATTACACAGTAGCACACACATTACACAGTAGCTAGCACCATCAGTCACACCAACACATTACATGTAGCTAGCACCATAGCACCATCAGTCACACCAACACATTTCACACATTACATGGTAGCTTGCACCATCAGTCACACCAACACATTACACAGTAGTAGCTACACACCATCAGTCACACCAACACACATTGTACACAGTAGGTTAGCACCATCAGTCACACCAACACACATTACACAGTAGCTAGCACCATCAGTCACACTAACACATTACACGGTAGCTAGCACCATCAGTCACATCAACACATTACACAGTAGCTAGCACCATCAGTCACACCAACACATTGTACACAGTAGGTTGTACCAACAGTCACACCAACACACATTACATAGCTTGCATCACCAGTCACATCACCACACATTACACAATATCTAGCACCATCAGTTACTTCATCACACATTATCTAGCACCATAAGTCAAAACAAACATTTATCAGGCAAGTCGTCCAGGGACAAATTCTTTGTACTGGCCAAAGGGATCCGGATATCCGTCACGGATTCTCCAAACACAGCAGCCTGGAATCACCCTGTGATTCCCAGTGCCAAGCCACCCATGCTGCCAAAGAATAAACTGTCTATATCCTTGGTGCCTATTTGCCTTCATCAAGTCAACTTCTTCATTTAGGACAAGGACATCATTTCTGTACAACCTTGCTAGAGCAAGCACTGCCTCATCCAAAACCAGTACATTGAAATCCTGAAGTATTAAGAAGGACAATTTAGGTATGTGAGCCTTCACAAATTGAATTACCTTTGTATATTCAAAGCCCCACATGCTCCAATAGCACATAAACACTGATTTGAAAAACAAATTGATACAGATATTTTCTAAAACCATGGCATTATATATACATCTATTCTAATATATTTGTATTCTATTTTCAAACATATACGTTTTTTAGAAACACATGTACTTAGAAATTTCCTGGTGTGAGGGTCATGAATGTTAACATACGCACACACCCTTATATATATATACACAAGAATGTATATATTCATCACATAATTATCTTGATATTAGACAAATATGTTCATGATATATTTTTGCTATTTGTAACTAATGTACTGTAACTTAATGTGATGTGCATTTTTGATAGAGAAATGAAGTCTCTATTATGACGTAACAATGGAAATGGCCAGTAACAATGGAAATGGCCAGTGTTATACCAATACAGGTTGAGTTCAATTTTGACATGTATGTAAATGTATGTCTTCTGCAATATATTTGCTCAAGTAATTATACTAAAAGTAATTTGATCATGTGATAATAAAGATCTTACATTTATTTCATGTGTGATTTATGAAGCTAGTCACATTTTTTTTCAATTCAGCTCACTAGGGAAAATTAGTAGACAAGTTTCTGAAATAAACATATCAAATGGCAACTCATGTAAGATCCTGTATGAACATCTGTGATAAATCAGATCTAATTGCAGACTGTTGGAAGCCACATATAAATACATACTGGGAGGATCGATACACATCTTTCCCTGGATTTGCCACAGCAAACTCTCTCTGCTTCTGTTGGCATCTCCCTACACCTGGTGCAAGTGCACCACTTTGGTGGAGCTGAGCCCTCTGTTGGATGGTGTCCTACAGGCTGAGGGGCCATAGGCTCTATGATGTCAAACATCAATCCAGGGTGGAATGTTACGGCTTTAGTCAAAAGCTCCTTGGCATTCTCCTCAGACAGCTGTTGTACTATAGTCTATTAAAAGATATAAAAGTAATGAAAGAGTTTTTTTTTAAAAGACATTAAAAGTGAAGTTCATATTTGATAATGAAAATACAAACATTTTTCAAAATACACAATATTAATCTATATATGTAAAACTTAATCATTATAATATATATATACACATACCTTTATAATAACTATACAGCTACACAACTTATACATTATTTGAATTAAGGACCAAAACATTTACATCAATTGCCAAATGCAAGGTATGTAGACATACATACTTTCATTCTTTCCTGCCTAGACTGAACAGTTTCTATGGCTTCCTGAGACTGTCTTTTTTGTCTTCCTCGGCCTCGACCTCTCCCTTTGCCTGTGTTGCTCCCTCGTGGCGATGTGGACTCCCACTAGATGAGGATTCTTCCCGAATTTCTGGAGGTGTTCTTTTACGCGTCATTCCTTTTCCTCGTCCTTTCCCTCTACCCTTTCCTCTACCTACATTTTCTATAGGTACATGTAGGAATTATTCAAGTTTATATACCAATTTACAGAACTGAAATATCTTAATAATTGCAAAATCTGTTTCATTTTTCCTGACACTTGGTGTCTGTGATATGTACAGCATAGTGTATGTAAAACTGAGTTAAAATCTCGGTCTGAGAGGGGTTTTTCAATTCTTCATAACTTCTGTTTTATTTGACCTAGGCTGATTCTGTTTACGCCAAAATGTTTGAAATAGCACACAGTTGATGAAAATATTTTTTTTTAAATTTAAGAAAAAAAAGTGTCCTATATTAGGACTAAGACCACAATTAAATGAAGTCCCTAAAAATGTATGTATATTAGGGAAAAAAATAATATGCCTCTTTGAATTGGATGTTTGCCTATAAATTTGATGTAGATGTGTTATAGATATAAATAATGTGCTATGTTTTTGTTTTTCTCCGAGACCTTGTGTTTTTAGCGTTATACAGTGCAATTTGTATTTTATTTTGAATTTTTTAATATTTTGAAAATATCTGTTTTTAACTGATTAATAATTTGATGGATTTTATCCTGTAATATACAGGTATTTTTTATTATACATATATTTATACATATACACCTTGTAAGACGCATTTAATATTTTGATATTTAGATTATGATTGTCATATGTAACATTTTGTTGTATGTGTTGTTTTCATTATGTTTGTACATTATACATTGTATGACACAATTAACATGGTGTTGTTTTTTGTTGATATATGTACAATGTAAATGCATGTATACTGTTTATGTAGTTAATATGGCATACATTCTGTATAGAATATATTTCGTGATTCATACATATATTACCATGTTGGATTGTTTTAGTGAAATTTTCTACATTGTAAATAAACATATTTCTAACTTAATTTCTACTTTCTCTGTTATATATTTACTGTGATTGTATTTTCTCATGGATACTGTATTTGTAGATCTGGAAGGGAAAAAGGATACAAATCCCAAAAGTTATTTTTCATTGATCTACATTACATTTACACCTTGTTATTTACTTTATCGTCCTTTGGTTTTTTCTTTGCTTTTCCTCCAGCCTCCAGCATTTCTGTCAAGAGTTGGTGGTGTACGCACCTCTTCAGCCATTTGTCTTGATTTACGAGACATCAGAGTTCCTTGGTTTAGAAACTTGTCGAGGGTGGTCATGGTGCTGGTTTTAGTGCCACTCTTAAGTGTCTTTTTGTGAGTCTTGTTTCTTTTTCTTAAATGACTGTTCACTGCCAGATGGTGTCTTTACAAGACGTTCTTTTTGTTCAGCAACTAAAGTGATGGGTTCAGTTTCTGTTTTATGGTCAGTGATCATGGCATTCTCATCACCCGAATTTTCATCTGAACTTGAAGGGTCATGTTCTGATTAAGTCACTTTGTTTAGGGATACTGACTGTTCTGGCCACCCTTGTTTACATTCTGAAACTAGAAATCTACAGGAACAGTCATTCTGGGTTTGCTCCATATACCAGTCTACAGTCATTGAGATAATGATTAAATTTATTATTTACAAAATAAGAACAAAAACATGAACTAATATCACATGATTTATCTGGTATAAAATACATGTAATAAAAAGTAACATCAAATGTGTTTACAAACAAAAAGCCAAAATTACCATATGGTTTCTAAATGCTCATCTGCAATGCAGTGTAAAAAGGAAAAGCTGAAACAGTATATATATATATATATTGGCTCAAATTTGATAGCATCCCAGTATGCCACAGACAAAACATCATGGGTCTTCAGATTTTCAAAATGTTACTTGGAAATTTACACAATTTGACCTAAATCATCTAAAAAGCAATTGAAGGTCATTTATTTGTGGTAACAAACATGAAATGACTCCATTACAGCTTGCTATGTGCAAAAAGACTTGAATCGAGTATCTTTGTGTTATTGAAGATGAATAAAGATCTCAAAACTGACACAGACAGATGGATGCCACAACACAATATAGATTCATTTGTCCTTCAGGAATCAGCCAAACTAAGTCACAAAATTAATGTAACTAGAATACTGAAGCAAGAACTGTTCATGAACACTTCATAATTCTGTTGTTTTTTTTAAGTCAATGTTCATTCTTTATCAAAAACGTCTTCGGAACATCCCACTATATCATATCACAAATCCGGGTTATGAAACAGGCCAAGATAAGATTTACTTCAGTCTACTTTTCTGATGCTTTACGAGCTCAGACGTTGGGGGATGTGGTACTGGAGCAACGGTCTTCGCAACCCATCTGGGGTCCTTTGGTGCCATAGTTGGTCCTCCCTTCATCCTAACTCGATCTGCCAAACGATGCTCCACTACAGATTCTTAAAGTCCTTCGACATGAGTGTACGACTTCTCTTCCATGACGGCATGTACAGCCCACCTGCCAAACTTTGTTGAAATTTCTCTGGTACCTGCAAATAGATTGTAATACCGTTGGTTGGTAATGTTAAATCTAGAAGTTCAGAGATGAACTGTTTTTTCTCTATTATTCTAGTACTTCAGTCTTTTAAACTCAGTGCTCATTATCAAGACAAGAACTAGAAATGTTTTGGTGATTATGTCTCCCTTTCCAACAAAAATATATATCATTTGACCTTTGAGCTCAAAGTCAAGGTTTATAGTGAACTTTTCTAAAGCACTGCACATCGTCAGATGAGGCAACTACACAAAGTTTGATGTGAAGATATTCTTTACAGTTTAGGAATCCTTTGGCAAAAACACAATATTCTTTATCTTCGAGGTCAAGGTCACAGTGACATTTTCGTCTTGTGGTGTAACTGCACATCAAGTTTTATGAAAGATTTCTTTTTACTTTTTGTGAGATATACCCTGGACAAATTATTTGAAGAACCAACGTACCTCTATTTTGGTAAAAATGTACCTGACCGACCAGCTAGCTTCCACCGAGGTCGGCCTCATGTACAGCTGAAATTTAGGATGATGATGGATTGATTGATTGAGGAGGATAATGATGATGATGATTGATGATGGATGATTGAGGATAATGATGATGGATGATGATGATGATGATGATTGAGGATGATGATGGATGATTGAGATGATGATGATGGGATGATGATGATGATGATGATGATGATATGATGATGATGATGATGATGATGATGATGATGATGATGATGATGATGGTGGTGGTGGTGGTGGTGGATTGATTGAGGATAATGGATTTATTGATTGAGGATGATTATGATGATGATGATTGATTGATGATGATGATGATGATGTTAGATTGATTGAGGATGATGATGTGTGAATGTTGGTACGTGTCCCATGTCTTGTTATTCTTATGCATCATTCAAAAATTTTGAAACAAATAAAAAGGATGATTTATAATTGTTCCTAAAATTCAACATATTGCATGAGGATGTCAGCCAGCCTACTAACAATAATGAGTGTAAGCTGTTTCCAGTCCTTGCCACGTGGAGGCCTCCTCATTAAAGGACCACTACTTTAAGCTAGCAAAAAAAAGCAATATTAAAAAAAATGAAAGTTTTATTCATCTAATCTATTCTAAAATAAATGATATTCTATTTTAATCTAAATATGAATTTAACAAATATTTCAGAACTTTTTTTTTTTTTTTTTTTGCATTTGTAAATTGGGTTCCTAATTTTTCTTTTACAGAAACCCGATTACAGTGCAGCATATGCCTTACTTGATGCGAGTGGAGTTTTTATCACATTTGCTGCCAAAATAATTCTGTAATTATCTATAGCATTGTAAGTATTATAAAGTTTTAAAGAGATAAAACATTTGCCATTATTTGACCTTTGACATTGTGGCATTGAGCAAGTTGAATTCAATCTATTTCACATCTTATGCAATGACGAATACAAAAGATATCGGGTACTATTTTTGATTTATTAATTTCGAAATTTTTACTACATGGCATGCTTTTTTAGTAGCAAACATGCATATCATTTCAGTTTCATGCAAACCCAAACAAATACAGAAGATCTTTTTATTAGGAGAGGCAAAATTATAGGCAAACTGCCATTACTTAATTTTAGTAAAAATGATTACATGCTTTACAATTTCTCACAGAAATGATATAACCGATTGTTTTATTACAAAGATTGCAGCCCAAAACAATTTATCTTTAAGAAAGGGAGAAACAAAATTCTAAAAAATGATTTGGAGTGTCACAGAATTCCTAACCTACCACTACAACTATCATATACCTAACTAGCCTATTCTATTTAACGTGCCAAGTGTGACTCGCCGACACGGGATTTGAGATTTCTGTCCTTCCACCGGACATTTTATTTCACCTACAATAATTACAATCACATTAATTCAAACATTTCTGCAACATGTGTTACATCAAATTACACCACAGGTGTTAATGTCAGTAGTCTATACAAGGGGTATGTCATCGTCATATTCACAATCTTTTCTTCAGTTGAGATCCTCAGGCCTAAGGTGGTCAGTTACAGGTTCTTGAT